GAAAAAAAATTGGTAAGGAGATGATTAAACATTGTGGAGGTCTACCATTGGCTCTTAAAGTGTTAGGAGGGTTGTTAAGTAAGAAATACGCATTGCATGAGTGGAAAAGGATTTATGAGAGTATTAAATCTAACATGATCAGAGGATTCGAGGACGTTTTCCATGTTTTGTGTTTGAGCTTCGAAGAATTGCCTGTTTAATTGAAGCACTGCTTCCTATACTTGGCTCATTTTCCAGAAGATTATGAAATATATGTGGAGAGACTGTCCTATTACTGGGCTGCAGAAGGAATATTAAGGCCAATGGATTTCGATGGAGCGAGCATTCTAGAGGTAGCAGATGGATACATAGAAGAATTGGTGAAGAGAAACATGATTATTTCTAAGAGAGACGTTGATACTTCAAGATTTGAAACACTTCAGTTGCATGACATGATGAGAGAAGTTTGTTTGCGCAAAGCTGAAGAAGAGAATTTCGTACAAACCATTGACAAATCAACTGCAAATTTGAAATCTCCTTCTAAATCTCGAAGACTTTCTGTTGTACGTTGGCATGCTAAAACATTTAATGTTGATACGGAGGTGAAGAATCCAAGCCTTAGAACTCTCTTATTTCTCGAGACCAAAAGACGGATGGCAACAGGTTTATTCTTTACAAGGCATAAGCTGATGAGAGTGTTAGATCTCTCTTGGGTCGAGTTTGAAGGAGGGAAGGTACCCTCTAGCATCAGGAAGCTCATCCACTTGAGATATCTTAGTTTAAAGTGGTCAAATGCAACTCAACTGGCTTCTTCTATGCAGAATCTGAAGAAGCTGCTCTATTTAAACCTAGATACACCAAATAGAGTTTACATGCCCAATATATTGAAAGAGATGCGAGAATTGACATTCTTGTGTTTGCCGTATATATTACATAATAAGACAAAGTTGGAATTGGGAAATATGGTCAAGCTGGAGAGGTTGGAGAATTTCTCCACAAAACATGGGAGTGTGACGGATCTACAGGGTATGACACGGCTCAGATCTCTCTCTATCAAAATTAGAGACGAGAGGTATACTATGGAAACTCTATCTTCATCTCTAAGTAAACTTTCACACTTGGAGAGTCTTAATATAGATAACGAGGAGGAGTTTTATACTCCCACGAATGATGTTAAAGAATTTGTTTGGGCTTTTGTGAATCTCAAACAGCTTAAGTTGGAGATATATATGCCAAGGTTACCTGATGCACAACACTTTCCTACTCACCTTACAACCATACATCTAATGCAGTGTCGTTTGACGGATGATCCAATACCGATTCTAGAGAAATTGCTTCACTTGAAAGAGATTAGTTTAAGAGAAAGATCTTTTTGTGGGAGGAGAATGGTTTGCTCGAGGGGTGGGAAGAAACTAAAATTTTATGGATTAGAGGAGTGGGAAGAGTGGATATTAGAAGAAGGCTCTATGCTTCTTCTCCATACTCTCAGAATTGACTCTTGTCCAAAGTTAAAGGAATTTCCTGATCGGCTGCAATGCATGGCTAACTTGGAGGATCTGAATGTTAGTGGTATCGGAGACAAATTCAGTTTGAGACTGTTGGAAGGATACTTGCCTTCTTACCTTACAACCATAAGTCTAGAGAAGTGTCGTTTGAAAGAGGATCCAATGCCTATTTTAGAAAAGTTTCTTCACTTGAAAGGTGTTACATTAAGTAGTGAGTCTTTTGGGAAGAGAATGGTTTGCTCGAGGGATGGATTTCCTCAATTTCTGAACCTTCAGTTATGGGAACTAAAGGAGTGGGAAGAATGGATAGTAGAAGAAGGCTCCATGCCTCTTCTTCATTCTTTCAAAATTTTCCGTTGCACAGAATTAAAGGAGCTTCCAGATGGGCTGCGATTCATCACTTCTTTAGAGCGTCTGACCTATATTGGTATGGAAAAGAGATGGGAGAAGAGACTGTCGGAAGGAGGAGAAGATTATTACAAAGTCCAACACATCCCTTGTGTTGAATTCTATGATTGATCTCGGCAATAGTGAGTCAGACAGCAGCTGAAGGAGACTCCAAGCAATTACAAACTATCAGGTATTATCTAGGAATGAACTTCTCAGCAACTTCTTTGGATATTCAAAGACTACGTTTAGTTAGACTATTTTGTTAGAATGTCTCTGATAATATGTTGTTTCACCAGTTGATTGGATATAGTGGCAAACAGAGAATTTACAAGTGAAACATACTGGCACACGAGGAGTGGATGTGACACTGAGACTGTGAGACACTGCTTTAAGTTTGTCTAAAGAGACGGAGAGATGTATTTAGGGAAGTGAAGCTGTTGGACCTTTGTTGACTTAGAGAGGTGTTAAGATTCTTATATATTATATTTCACTTTACATTTCCTCTATTTGTTCTTCTCAAGCGACTAGGCTTTGGAAATAATTTTCTAATCAAAGATATTAACAACATATCGATTTTTTTATTTTTGTTTTTGCAACTCAAAAATTTGCATCCCTCTGTACAAAGATATATGGATTGATTCCAAAGAATAGACGTTTGTCTTTTTTTTTTTTTTTTTTTTTTTTTTGGAACACGAATAGAAGTTTGTCTTAGTCGTTGTACTCCCCAGGTACCAAATCCTGCAGTATAGGTTCAAGTAAGCTCAAATAAAGATGTGGAAGATCCTGCAAAAATGTGGATAAATCTGAGAAGATATCAGAAATGGTCCCAAATCCACAACCAGAGAAGACTAAAGCTCTGCATAAGTTGAAAGTTTAAGTGGCGTAATCACCAAGCAAGCCAGACCTAGCATGACTTGGGAAGAGACTATCGTCCATTTTACTAAGATAATATTCTCCACAAGACTTCTTGGACTAAAAGATTTTACTTCCTGCATCTCATAGGCTAACCTTATCCAAAAGTTAATCGGTAAGATAAAGCATTCTTGCCATGTATAACATAAGTATCAGAGATGTTCACATAGGAACCATTTGGAGGTAGAACTAACAAAGCTAACAATATTCATAATATATATATATTTTTTTTATAATATATTGTTTGTAGACATCTTCCAGGTAATGAGAGTTTCTACTCTCCGTGAAGAAGCCAGTGAGAGTTTCTACCATTTTGGCCAAAGCTTCCAACTTCATCTCATTGATCTAGGCATGGACTTCATTGTTGAAGCTGCCAAAGTTTAAGTCTCCTAATCTATGATAAGCGATACTCTACTGCATTATATTCTTGCTTGAGGATGTTACACAAATTTGATAACCAAACGAAAGAACCATGTTGCAACAATGATGATTCTTCCTTGCTTTCTTCCAAACGGCAATAGCACTGAGAAAGGAGGCTATATATGTTAAGACCACTAACTGTTGGGTACACGATTGTACTTATGGTCTGTATGATGATTGGTGTCTGAAGCAGAGGCAAGTGTTTCAGCAGTGGTGTCATCATTTGTCCAGGCCTCAGAGTAAAGGATACAGCTTAAATAACTACTAATTTTAATCTTAAAATTCCATTGAGTTTAAAGAGTTTGAGGATCATTTACAAATATAATTTTGTAGAGAATCCATTTTGAATCTGCTTTTGTGCTTTTTAATTGGATATATTGGTGAATATATGATATGTTTAAAATTGGATCTTATTATATGATTCCATTTATAATCCATCAGTTTCTTTTTGAAAAAAATTATAAACATAATTAATGAATGTAAGATACATCAAAAACTCTATAAATTAATAATATTGAGACTATGATATATAATTAATTTACAGAGTTTTTGTGTCAGAAATTTACAGAGTTATTAACTTAAAAACTATTATTTTTTTAGATTTTAAGTATATACAATAATAAAATTTTAGAAACTTGATTTTCGTATTTTTTTAGTATATTATTTGATGTATATAAAATATGTTTCACAGAATTTTAATATTTCTTTAGTTATAATTTTCCTACATTTTAAAAAAGATTTTCTTAGAAGTTCTTCTAAAATATGAAATTGTATTTTAAATTAAAAATATATATAATATATTAAATTAGAGTCAATGAGTCTAAAATATGACTCTAATTTAATAGATCATATATATTTTAATATCTTTAGTTTTAGTTTGAATACAAATGAATATTTTTAAGAAAACTTCTAACAAAATCTTTATGTATTTTTAAAGAAAATAATTAATTTAAACTGTAGGTATCAGTATTATTTTTGCAATATTTTTGAAATAAAAATGAATTAATTTTAATTCTTAATTATATTTTAATGATAATTGGAAGTTAAATTAATAAATTACGAAAATACTATTTAAAAGTAATTTTACAATATTTTTTGTTTAAAATTTAAAAGAAAGTTGTTTATTTTTATTTTAAATAAAATATTAAGATATTCAAAGATATTATAATGAAGTTATGTATAATTTGATAACATTTTAAGAAATATCCCAAAACAAAAATCACACTAAAATGTCACAGGACTGTAATTAGATAGATTAGATACAAATGAATATTTTTTGAAAAAAAAATCTAAAAAAATTTCTTAAAATATATTTTCAAAAATTATTAATTTTAAATTGTATTTATTAGTAAACTATAACTAAAATATTTCTCTGATTTTAATTTTGTTTTCAAATAAAAATTGAATTAATTTTAACTGTTAATTGAATTTTAATAATAATTAGAATTTAAATTAATTAATTACGAAAATAAACTTGAAAAAGAAATTTTAAAAGATTTTGTTCAAAAGAAAGTTGTTTATTTGTATTTCAAAATAAAAGGTTAAAATATTAAAAAATATTATAATCGAGTTATGTATAATTTATAATAAAAAAATTAAGAGCTAGTCCAAAAAAAAAAAAATCACACATAAAAAAAGTCAAAATACTCTAGTTGAATAGTATTGATTAGATATATAATTGAGAAAATATTATTCTATATATGACGTGGAAAATCAGAGAAGTAGCCGTTAGAGGAAAGTTCAAATTATATTGCTCTTTTGAGTTCAGACCTACTTGAGAACTGAGAAGAAGAAGCTGCTCCTCCTTATCGATTAAAACGTTTCCTTCCATTTGGGGATTAAAATTAGGGTTTTGGAGACTATGGCCGAATCCGTCTGTCTTGTGAGATCCTTCTCTCAACCTTCGTCGTCGCACGAGGTCAGTTTTACGATTCTGATTCTGTTTCGCGAGAAAGTGTGGGAAAATTCTGGATCTGAGATGATTGAATCGTTGATTTAGGGTTTCGAATAGATTGTTGTTGATGGATCTGAAGAGAATTTGAGATTTGAGATTTGGTTTGTGTTTTGTGTGCAGGTGATTATTCCTCGTGGTGTGCTTACGGAATCTGTATCGTTTGGTAGATTTGCGTCAGAGAGTCTACAGTGGGAGAAATGGTCAGCTTTTACTCAGAACCGTTACTTGGAAGAGGTTGAGAGGTTTACAAAGCCTGGCTCTGTGGCTGAGAAGAAAGCCTTCTTTGAAGCTCACTTCAAGAACCGAGCTTCTGGGAAGACAACAAAGATCAAGACACAACAAGGATCAAATGGTGTTAAGGCTAGTCATGAAGCCGTGTGTGAAGTAGTGAAAGAGAATCTACCACTTGTGGATGAAGAGGTGTGTTATGTTGCTCCATCAGTTTATGTAACAGATGGTGATGTTGGGGAAGTGAAGGATACGGTTGGTGAGAATATTGATTCCATGGCTGTTCTTGAAGACGAGGGTCTTGACAAGGTAAAGATGTTCTTGTGAAGCTGTAGAATACTTATAAGCCAATCTTTATGTTTTTGCTCTTAACCGGTTCATTTGAATTTTTAGGAGAATTATACTTCTTTGAGCAAAGAGAGGCGTCCTAGTTCTTCTTCTATGGCTGTTCCTCTAGACGAGGATCTTGACAAGGTAAAGATGTTCTTGTGCAGCTGTAGAATTCTTCTTGTTCATTACATTGCAAAAGCCAATGTTTATGTTTTTTTCTCTTAACGTTCATTTGAATTTTCAGGAGAATTATACTTCTTTGAGCACAGAGAGATGTCCTAGTTCTTCTTCTATGGGTGTTCCTGAAAACGAGAATCTTGACAAGGTAAAGATGTTCTTTTGCAGCCATAGCATTCTTATAAGACAATGTTTTTGTTTTTTTTTATCTTAATGTTCTTTTGCATTTTCAGGAGAATTCTACTTCTTTGAGCAAAGGAAGACGTCCTAGTTCTTCAGGATCAAAGACCTGCAGTAGAAGTTCAATTCCGGAACCTCCCCTTACTAATCTGCCAATTAAGAAAGCCAGGAAAGAGCCACTTTCAACTAGGAAAAGGTCTACTAGTGTATCGAAAAAACAAAGCAGATCACCACCTCCTCACCCCTTTAACATGTCAACCAATTGTGCTCCTTCTGGTAATGCCGACAAAAAGATATCTCAGGACGGGTCTAGAAACAGTACCAATGTGAAGGACGCATGTAAAGCAGACAAGAAGGAGAGATCAGGTCCAAGTTCAGTTCACATGCCACTCAACTCTGCTACCTCTACTCGTCAAACGACCAAAACAGCTCCAAAAAAGCTAGCAAGAAGATCCACTACACAGGAAACAAATTCATCAAATGCTGTAAGCAGTATAAAGCCAAAGGACAACGAACCAACAGTAGCTTCAAAAAGCCGCAGGAGACCATTGTCTAGAGCAGACAAAGAAGAATCAGATGCTCCAAAATGTTCAACCAGAGTAATTCTCCTTCTAAGTTTCTCCCTTCCATGCGTATATCTCATACATATTTGCTGCCACTGACTCTTGCATATACTGTAGGCCTCTGTTTTCAGGCTACCAGGACTTCCTCCTCCCAGGGTTCGGCCATCAGACGAGAAAAGGTTACTGATCCAACCCATCCTTAAATATTAGTTATACTTAAAACCAAGCCTATAGTTAGTTGACTTGGTTTCTTATGTACAGGAAAAACATAACTGTAAGTAGCTCAGTTTCTTGCAGAATACCCAACAATGTGCAAAGACAGCCTTCTGTCAGGTAAGCAGCTTAGTTGGTTTAATCACTGTGTTCTTGTTATTTCCCTGGTTTATGTGGCGAGTAAGTTATTGTCTAATGCATATGCCAGCTGCGAAAATCTTTCAACTCATAGCAGAACCAGAGAGAAGTCTTTCACTGTTTCTACTCCCTTCAAGTTCAGAAGTGATGAACGGGCAGAAAAGAGGAAAGAGGTAGAACTTAGACAAGACTCCCTTTTATTTCTCAAATTCAGATAAGACGACTCTAACAGAGAGCATCATAGTCTAACGAAGTTCTCTTTTGTTGTGGCTGTGTTTGTTAGTTCTTCAAGAAGGTAGAAGAAAAGAAAAAGATAGAGGATGCTGTCAAAGAGCAATCGTCTTGTGGTGTTCAGGTATAGTAAAAAGTAGCTGACAGATTGTAAGCTTCACTTCACTAAGATGAATCTTGCTATATATTGACATTACAATCTTGTGCAGGCACCAGTGATAACTCTGACTTCACCAAGATTCCGCAGGAATCAAACTCCAGGAAGAGAGAACAAACAAAAGTCTCGTGAATCTCCCCATAAAGTTGCCTCAGTGAAGATTACAAACACCAGAAATCCATCGATTGAGAAACACAAACGCTGCAAGATTCACCCCTCGCTGACAAAGAAGAAAACACAAGAAGATTCGTCTCCTAATGTTCTCTAGAAGTAAGATTGCATTGCATACGTCAGAGACAAATCCAACCAATCATATGTTTCGTTTCCTCTTCTTCAACACAGCTGATTTAAGATTATACCAGAGGATCATCATGAAGATTTAGCATTTCACGTTGAAGATTACGAAAGTTTGTAGTTTCAGCATGTAACCTTGTCAAGCTTATGATATAGGTAACTAGCCCTTGATGCAAACTGTATAACGTAAGCTTTTAAGGAGCTGTAGTGGAATAGATAGAACTTAATTCACCAAATAAGTATGTACTCTATAGTTCTTTTAACTATGACTGAGCAAAGTTCTTCTCTTTTTTCTTTGTGTATGAGTTTTAGTACTGTTTCACTTTCAATAAGAAAGAGCCATATTCAAGAAATTTGCGGCAGTGATTAAGAGTTTTATAGAATATTATTGTTTAGTCTTTATAACACTGGAAAAGAGTATGTTGATGTTTATAGCGATTCAGTCCATATAATATTTCTTTCACAGTATTTGCACATAGGGGGTGCACGTACGTTCGGATAGATGTTCATTCAGGTCGGTAATTCGGGTTGTCGGATATTTCGATAAAAGATGTAAAATCTATTGTAAAAATTTTATATTCGGGTGGCTTCAAGTATTTGTAATTCGAGTTTTTAGTAATGCTCGGCCGGTTTGAGTTTTTGTATTTTTAACAAAGTTATATAGTTCTTGCAAAACAATAAATAAATAACTGATCACACTAAAAATTCTTGGCTTGTAATTTTAGATCATGAAAAAAAACAAGAAAAATATCCATGTATCAATGATTTTGAATCGCCTAAATTAAACACAAAAATATATATATATATATATATATATATTCAAAGATGAATTATCTATGATTTTTCCATATTATTATTCGAATTTAAACTCTAAATCTTATATTCTAATTCCAAATCTTCAAATCTTCAACTTCTCTCTCAAATTTAAATTTTAAATCTAAATCAGTTAACTCTATAAATATAAATGTTTTAATAAAATTTATTTTGATCAATTTTGACCTTTTAAAACTATCATAATTTTTTAATGCTATTATACGATATTTCTCTATTAATAAACAACGCTAACGACTAGCAAAAGATTAATCTGGTTAGTGTTTACAACAAAACAAATGAATTGGGATTTCAAAGATCTTGTCTTGACCCTTGTGAATCTTTCATATCCTTTATGATGTATGATGATAATATGATGATGATGTTGCTGCATCACATCTTTCATGATGTTTTATCACACTTTTCGACATCACATAGTTATCCATATATATTTCACGTGGTGCATACATCTTAACACGTTCACTTGCACATTCAGACCCAGCCAAAACAAGTATTCTTACAAGGTTGATTATTTTACAACTTGGATTAGCTGCTTTTTAACGACTTTTATAAAAGGAGTTCAAGGTGGAAAATGAATTCATTTAAAATGTATTTTGGTTTTATTTTTATTTTATGACAAAAGTGATTAGGTATCTTTCCAATTAGACAGGTATATCGCATTCACTGTTAAAAAAATGTTTCCAGTAAATAAAATAGGTAAAGAGTCTTATCAATGAAACAAGTTTTATCCATCATTTGAGATTAGAAAATAATAATTTTATATATTAAGTAATTATAAATTATCATGGTGACTCTTTCCAAATATTAATGATTCCCATCTCTTATAATATGGACATAATATCCCAAAGAAGTTCTTTTTGCGTGTTGTCTATTAAAATGTTTTGGTCAAATGTATATGGCAATTATTGAGTCTCGTCGCTTGCAACTCTTGATGATGTTCTTGCCAAAAAAGTTTATAAAATTGAAGGGAATCTTTATCAGTTTACCTTTCACCTAACTGTTAGTTTAAAGTTGTTAAATAGTAGTTTATTTATGAGAAAACTTTCAAATTAAAGCAAAAAAAACTTTAAACTTATGTTTGAGTCAAAAAATCTTAAATTTTTAAATATTGTTTATTTTTACTCTTATATTTTTGTTGATTTGATTATTTGAATTCGATTATAAAAATAGAGGTTTGTTATTCTTTAAGCGACGTGATTTTGAAAATTGATTAAACACTAATCAAACAACGTCGTTTTGCTTTTGTAAATACTTAAACCATCTTATTCATAAAATCAGAATCTCAAATCGACTTCATTTTCCTCATTTAGAATTAGGTTTCAAAGTTTTATAAAAATTTAGCTTTAATTTGAAACCATTAAAATCCCAAACTTAAACCATTTTAAAGCAAAGAAAAAAAAACATTCAACCATGAGTAACAGTTTTTCGATTTTAATTTAAAAATTTAAGATTTTTATGATCGTTTTGTCATTTCTTTGTTGTTTAGTGTGTCTTTGCATTCCAAAACACTACAATTCTAATATTTTAAAAATCCAAAAATTAGCCCTTATGATTATAAACTCATCATATTCTTTAGAAACATTTTCTGAAACATATGTGTTGTATTTTAGTATTTTTTGGAAATTGAGATCTTTTTCAAATATATTTCTAATTTTTTTAGTTCAAGAAATTTCAAATCCTTTTTTTACTGAACTTCATCAGTAAGATTAGATGAAAGTCTAGATGTGGTAGTTTAATATAATAGATTTAGCATCAGTTCAAACAAATATTAGATTAAGTAGTTTCGATAAGATTTATGTCTGAAATTAATCTTTTCATATAGTTTTATTTGAATATATGTGTTTCAAATTAAATTTTAATCCAAAATAACAAACTTCTAAATTAGCAGTTTATTATTCACACTAAACATTTATTCAAAAGCTGAGATAAAATCATCATCACCATCGAATAAAATTAAAAGAAAACAAAACAAAACCTTTGTTTTTCTATAGTTTTAAATATTATCTTCACTTGGAAAGAAAACAAAACGAAAAAAAAGCAGATGGGAATATTCTTGAACATGAAATCCACAACTTGCGCTTTGAATTGTAACTTGCTAGGTTGGTATTGCTTCCAAGCTTACATATCTTCTTTATCAATTTTTGTTTGGCTTATAAAGTTATAAAGAAACAAACACTAACACAATTAGAACAACGGTTAGAAGAATTATTTATACTCATTGTCAAATTCATTATAAACTAGAACTATAAGATGGATTCGAGAAACTAATTCTTTCTTATTCGTCAGAGAAAAGACAAAAAGAAAGAAAATTTGAGGAGGTCATCATAGTGGATAACAATGTCAGGACTCATGATGAGTACTAACATTTTATTATATACTCAAATATTAAACTATAAAGATCCGTTTGGATGGATAACTTGTTCCACCACTGTTTCGGATGAAAACGTATGTATATGTATAATGAATGCATTCAAGATGTTATATTCCATCACAAGAATACGTATATGTGCACATATACGTACATACAAGTATCATAATATTATCAGAGAATGTTGTAAATAGAGAGATCTTATTGCTTTTAGACCACCGCATAAAGAGACATTTCCTCTTCATTCACTTCCCTCAACGCACAATTTGCATACTTTCCGAGAAGTAAAACTAAAAATAAAAAACAAGAGAATTTTCACCGTCAATTCTCTATACAAAAACATTGTCCCATCATTCTTTCATATCCATCTTTCTTCATTGCTCTGATCATCAGACATCTAAACCAAACAAAGAAAAACCACTTGGGCTGTCTGTAAATTCCAGAGGTTCGATTTTTTGTTGTTGATAATGATGGTTTGATGGGTTTTCATAAAGTTCGATCCTTTATAATTGATCATAACTCTGCTTTGTTCGGACAATTAACTGTTGATCTCTCTTTGATCTGTTGTTGTTCAATTAAGATTGATTTGAGTTTCTGTGTTTGTAAGGGAAAAAAAAAAACAGAGTTTGTGCAGAGGAGAAGGAAAAGTCCTTTGCGTGTGACAAATCACCTTTCTTGTTGGTCTTACCATTATTGATTAGTACACTTCTCTTCAAAGTTTCCTTCTTTCATTCTTGAGCTGATTTTATTTGATTTGATTGTTTCACAGAGTCTTGCTCTGTTCTTGATTAGAAAGAAGAAGTCTTGTTATAACCCATAACATTGCTATTTTATAAGCTATGGTTTGAGAATTATGTCTTGGATCCTAACTTGTTTATGTTTCCTATGTAGATCAAAACCTTTACTACTTGTTGAACAATACTAAACTACACAATTTGCAGGTCAGTTTAAGGAGTCTTGCTCAATGTTCTTTTTATCCTCTTTCAGGCAGATCAAAAATGTAACTTGTCTTAATTTGAGATTTGTGTGTTTAGACATGGATGCTACAACTAGTGGAACTCCATCTTTACAATATCATAACATACCGGAGCAACCGGTTGCTTCTCCTCCTGTGTCTCCGTTTCAGAGACAAAAACGCCAATGCTTTGGAGACTCAACTCCTGGAGAGTTCCCTTTAGCAGCTAGCCCTTCCATTGTCCTTCATGTTCTCACTGAATGTAGATTGGATCCTCTTGACCTCGCAAATCTTGAGGTTCTTTTCTCAATCTCTTACTGAAAATTCCAAGGATTGATGTCTCTGCTGATTTCTATTTATTTATGTTGTTGTTGTTTTAGGCAACATGCTCGTTTTTTAGCCAGCCAGCAAACTTTGCGCCAGACTGTAGTTTATCACTACCTGAGCTCGCTGCTCTTGACATGTGTAATAAAAGGATGATTTTCAAACCGATGAATGAAGAAGAACGTGAAGAAATGAAACGTAGATGCGGAGGTTCATGGAAACTTGTCCTTAGGTTTTTGCTGGCTGGTGAAGCGTGTTGCCGAAGAGAGAAGTCTCAAGCTATTGCTGGTCCTGCTCACAGCATTGCGGTCACATCAAAGGGAGAAGTTTATACCTTTGGTCACAACAACTCTGGTCAGCTAGGACATGGCCATACCGATGAAGAAGCTCGGATACTGCCCATCAGGTTAGTGTTCTATAACCACAAGTAGAGGTGGACATTTCGGTTTAATTTAGGGTCGGTTTGGGTTTGATTTGGTTTATTCAGGTTTAAAAAACTTTAACCAAATTCAAGTGAAATTTGTTTGGTTTGATTTGTGTTCGGTTTTGTTTGAGTTTGTTCAGTACAATCAAAGTTGTTTTTAGTTTTTTCTAGTTCGTCTATAATAATATAATTTATAAAACATAGAAATCATCATTTGACACTAAATTAATAATTTCTTCGTAGTACTCCTTCTGTTTCAATAAGATCCATATTTTAGAAAAAAATATTTGTTTCAAAAATATACATTTTCAATGTATTAATTAATGATAAATTGTCAATTTCAAAAAAAAAATTGTGTTTATTAAAATTCTATTGGTTAAAAATTTATGTGGAATTGTTAGCTACAAAAAATGATACATTGATAATCAAAATTTAATATGTTTTCCTAATATATACAGCTTTTTGAAACAGAGGGAGTAAAAGGGTTTCACTAAGAGTATTATTACCGTGTTGTGCAGATCATTACAGGGAATCAGAATCACCCAAGCAGCAGCTGGTGCTGGTCGGACAATGCTAATAAGCGACAATGGGAGTGTTTACACGTGTGGGAAAGATTTGTTTGGTGAAGCAGAGTATGGAGGGCAAGGGTGCAAACAGGTTACAACTCCTCAGCTTGTGACATCTTTAAAAAACATATTTGTTGTGCAAGCGGCTATAGGGAACTTCTTTACTGCTGTTCTGTCCCGAGAAGGGAAGGTTTATACATTCTCTTGGGGCAACGACGGTAGACTCGGACACCAAACCGAGGCCAATGATGTTGAGCCACGTCCTTTGTTAGGCCCGTTAGAGAATGTACCAGTTGTGCAGATTGCTGCTGGTTATTGCTACCTTCTTGCCTTATCTTGTCAACCAAATGGCATGTAAGTTCCTCTTCTTTTATACATTGTTGTTGTGAACAAACGCGAATTAACCACAAATTAAGAGAACAAAACACACAATTGAGTTAAATATGGGTTTTAGGGTTTGTATATTAATGATCATGTGAATGAATAATTTACTATTCGTATTTATACTACTTTAAATGTACTTTTCCTAACCCTAAATGTCACACTGAGATTTAAGTCACTTCCAATTCCAAAATTAACATTAGTATTTGTCCAAAACCGGTTCTGACGCAATAGCATGCTTGTTTTAGGTCGGTTTATTCGGTTGGTTGCGGTTTGGGAGGCAAACTTGGTCACGGGTCAAAAACCGATGAGAAGTATCCTCGGGTTATTGAACAGTTTAAGGTACTGAACTTTCAACCTAGGGTAGTTGCAGCTGGTGCTTGGCATGCAGCAGTGGTAGGTCAAGATGGAAGAGTGTGTACTTGGGGTTGGGGAAGATACGGTTGCTTAGGACACGGTAACGAGGAGGGTGAGTCAGTTCCTAAGGTCGTTGAAGGGCTAAGACATGTCAAAGCAGTTCATGTCGCAACAGGAGATTACACTACTTTTGTGGTCTCGGAAGATGGTGATGTTTACTCTTTTGGTTGTGGTGAATCTGCTAGTCTTGGTCACCATACAGCTGTTTATGAACAGGTTAGCTCTTGCTTATGGGTTTGATGTAACATATAAACACTTATGTTTTGGTTTGGGTTTTGTCTGTAGCGTGATCGGCAAGCTAATGTTCTGAATCCAGCAGTGGTTACATCGCTGAAACAAGTGAAAGAGCGGGTGGTTCAGATTAGTCTAACGAACTCTATATACTGGAACGCTCATACGTTTGCGCTCACGGAATCAGGGAAGCTATTTGCGTTTGGTGCGGGAGATAAAGGTCAGCTTGGAGCAGAGCTTGGTCGTGACCAAACAGAAAGGTGTGTACCTGAAAGAGTGAATATCGATCTCAGTTAGCGGTTGCACTGTTTAGTGGCAGGAAATTTGCGTTTGACGTCAGGTAAACGCAAGGAAATTGCGTTTTAACTTTGTTATGTTAATAAGACTTTGGAAGGTTTGTACAAAAGGAACTTGTCTTAACATTCTCATTGTATAGGGTTTTAGATTATTCTAGTTGTTCATTGGTCATGTGTTTAGGTTATGTTGTTAATATCAATAATCAATTTGTATAAAAACTAAAAGGCTAAAACCAATATGGGGTTGAAAAGGTCTATCGTCGGCTGCTAAGTTTCCGTGTAGCGATGTCACTGCGTGTAGGAGAATGTGAGTTATGGAAATATGATTAATTACTTGTGAGACACGGGAGATGAATTATATATACCATCTTTATAAGTAGTCTGTAGAAGAATCTCTTTAAAAATTTTGAAGGAAGAGAGAAAATGATGAAATAGCTGAGAAATGATAAAAGATTGTTTCAAACTATTTTAAATAAAAATAACAATTATATAATTAAAATATCAATTTTCTTATTTTAAGAAGTTGTACAATATTTCATTGGTGATGATGTTCTTAGTTATAGATACGAATGTCAAACAGGTTGATTCATCCCGTCCCGTCTCATATCACTGCGGTTTTAGTTGGTCATGGCGGGTCAAACCCGTGCGGACTGCACTATCCAAATGGTCGGTCTAATACCATCCCACCAAATGCATAATTCTTTAGAGGTCGGACTGCACTATCCAAATGGTCGGTCTAATACCATCCCACCAAATGCATAATTCTTTAGAGGTCGGTCTGCAGGAGAAACGGTGTGTATCAGTACACTTCATGGGATGATCTAAGAAGCTATAAAGTTCGAGTTACGGATGCAATGGCCGTGGATGTTATGGGTTATACACTTCATGGGATGCCACTTCCTTCTAGCGGCACAGTTGGTTTTGGGATGATTATAAACATCTTAAACAGCTACTCTGACTTATACACTGGTTCAGGCAACGATCTTGGTCTGCACCGTTTGATAGAAGCAATGAAACATATGTTAGCTGCTCGTATGGATCTTGGAGACCCTGAGTCTGTCAACGTTACAAACGCTATGTTACAAATGCTCTCGAAGCCTAATGCGGAAGAGATTAGGAAGAGGATCTTGGACAACACTACGTTCCCTCCTGAGTACTATTTGAGCCGTTGGAGTCAACTTAGAGACCAAGGGACGAGTCATTTCTGCATTGTAGATGGTGATAGAAACACTGTCTCTATGACAACGACTGTGAACTACCCTTTTGGTGGTGGAGTTTTGTCTCCTTCCACTGGGGTTTTACTCAACAACGAGATGGATGATTTCTCTGTACCTGAGATGATCACTCCTGATCATCTCCCTCCTGCACCTACTAACTTCATTGAACCAAATAAAAGACCGTTATCTTCCATGACACCTCTTGTTATCACCAAGGAGGGTGAGTTGGTGGCGGTGGTTGGAGGAAGTGGAGGAACGAATATAATTGCGGCGGTGATTCAAGTTTTCCTTAACTGCTTTGTGTTGAAGATGAAACCCTTAGAAGCTGTACAGAGTGCAAGAGTTTACCATAAGGTAATAACTTATTAATGATAGATGTCTTACTAACATTCAGATGAAGTAATGGTTGTTGTTTGTTGTAGTTGATACCGAATGTTGTTAGATATGAGAACTTTACTGCTATTAACGGAGATCACATAGGAGTTACTAAAGATAGCAAGGTGTTTCTTGAAGAGAAGGGACATGAACTGGAGGAGATGTCAGGTGGAGGAGCTATTGTTCAACTTATTGTTCAGAGTTTCAAGGAAGAAGAAGAGATGGTTACTGACTTTGGAAGGAAACTTGGTAAAGATTCTATTAAGAGATCAAAACCATTCAAGGGATTACTCACTGCGTGTAGGAGAATGTGGGTTATGGAAATATGAGTACTTGTGAGACACGGGAGATGAATTAAATATACCTTCTTTATAAGTAGTCTGTAGAAGAATCTCTTTAAAATTTTTGAAGGAAGAGAGAAAATGTTTAAATAGCTGAGGAATAATGAAAGGTTGTTTCATTGATGATGATGTTCTTAGTTAGATAATAAATAGGAATGTCAAACATGTTGATTCGTTCTGTCCCGCCCATATCGCTATGGGTTCGTTTTTGCACGGGTTCATTTTTTTACGGGTCACGACGGGTCAGGTCCGCGTAGATTGCAGTATCCAAAAGGTCGGTCTAATACCATCCCACCAAACGCATAATCCTTTACGGGTCGGTCAACGTAGATTACAGTATCTAAAAGGTCAGTCTAATACCATCTCACAAAATGCATAATTCTTTACAGGTCAGCCCGCGGGACATACGCTAATAGTATGCATCAGTACATTTTTTGATGCTGCATGTCATTCCAAGAGGCTTCTTGACGCTGCAGGCTACTCCAAAACGCTTTTTATCGCTGCATGCTACTTTAAAACACTTTAGATTGCACCACTACATATCTAAAGTGTACATAATGAAAATACATGAAGCATCTATTGTTAGGATTTTCTAAAGTTTGTTAAAATTCTAATAAATTTTTAATATATATAGTTTATTAAGCTTTTTTAATATTTATACAAGTACACAACCAAATTAAAACTATCACCGAGTCCTTGTTCATCTATAAATACTAAATACATATCAGACACTGAATCGACTTAAATAACCAACCATATACATATCAAAACAATATACATAGCAGACACAAAATACATATCATTCACATCACATCAAACTAAGCTAAACAACAAACATCACAAGCAATACAACTATTTCAGAGACAAAACAAACAACTAGAGAGGAGAAATGGAGAAAAAGACGGCCATGCATGTAGTGAAAAAGAATCTTCGGTAGGGAATCTTACAAACTTAGAGCTCCAGCGGGGGATCTAAAAAAAATAGAAGCTCCAGTGGTGGATCTTAGAAACTTGGGAGATCTGGTGGTTGATCTAAGAATAATAAAAACTCCAGTGGTGGATCAAAGCAGAGAAGCTTCGATGGTGAGAAGCTCCACTCTTGGAGATAGAAGAAACATGGGAGACAAGAAAGCATCATTGATCCTCAAATTACTGTCACCTGAATTTCATAGGTCGTCCCTCAGCATCTACGATCGAGTCGCCTTCTTTGCTCTCTTTCATTCTCGTTCTTTCAAGTGAAAATAGAAATGAGGAGTATGGTTGCGGCCCATACCGCTTCGGTCTGATCTCATTCTGCCCTGCAATAAGCTTTTACAAGACATACACATGGTCTAAATCCTTGGTTGACATCCCTAATAATAGACCAAAAGGAAATTCTATATATTCCGACTTGATATTTTTTACTTTAAACCCCTCCTATTACATTCAATTTCACAATGTTGTTGTTGTAATTTTCAGATAACTTAAAAGTTAAAATCTAAGAGCATATACATCAAAGGTTCATCACAAAAGTTCACCCCCTTCCCACCAAAAAAAAAAGTATTAAAATAATCATCCTGTGATGAAAATGTCCCTCTGAAGCTCTCTGCCGTGAACTTTTCTGTGGAGAGTTCATCACTGTAGCGTGGGCCCCATGACACGTGGCGACCCACTATTGGTCTATTTTAAAAAAAAAATCGAAAAGAAAAAGAAAATAAATTAATAATAAAAAATTAAAAACTTGAACTCCCAGAGGAGTTTATTGATGTACATGCTAAGATAAGAGTAATTTGAAACGGTTGGAATATTTTTTTTTAACTCTTGATCAGTAATCGAAACCTAAATTAATCATGAAATCTGTTAAAATATGGATAATTATTGTGAGTAACTATTACTAAAATTACTAAATTCGATTAAAGAACATTTATGGAAAAGGTTCTATTCATTGATTTTTTCTGATAGGATTGAGACAAAAGGACAACAAGACATTTTTGTATGGGCAAGAAAGAAGCTTGAATTAGCGGTAAAAGGAATGCCGTTAGTTTTTTTGGCAAGCCTAAAATTTCGTATTTTGATCAACAACTATATAAACAAAGAGCCTCTCTACACAACAAAAAAAAAACAGTAAATAAATAAACGAAAATACCCATTAAACATTTGTAAACAAAAGTTTTTTGGGGATTATTAACTAACTAACCTAATGGCGCGCCTTCACGTAGCTCTCCTCCTTCTCTTGGTGGCCGTCTCCGCCGTCATCGTATCAGCTACCGATAAACCGTCGGTAACCACCGCCGGACCTCCAACCGCAACAACTCCGACGACCAGTGGAGATGTCGAGGCAGCAGAGGCTCCAGTAGACGACAACGCCATTGGAACAACCGACGACGACGCAGGTGCTACTCCAGGAGATGATGACGTGGCAGTAGCCGGACCTATCGGAAGCGAGACTTCGTACGCAAACTACCCACCGCCTCAACAAACTTCCGGCAGTGGCCCCATCACCGCTATGATTGGATTCGTTTCTGTTGCTGCTACGATGGTTGGGTCGTTCTTCTTTTTCTGAGGTGTGTGATTGGTGCATGTAATTTAAGATATTAATAATGTTCTTAATGGATGTTTTGTAATATTTTTTCTTGTAGATGTATCATGTATAAGCATGTTGCTTGTCCCTTTTATGTATAACACTGGGACGATACAGATCATTACAATATGAAACTTTGTGTATGTGGTGCATATCTATGGTTTATAGTTTATAAAGGATGAAAGAAACAAAAGTATTAACTTTTGTTTGATCTTTTTCGTACATACCCTTTTATGAAAAACAAAAAAAAATCATATGAAAAACTTTTCTCCTTTCATGAATAGACTCAACTCAGTTCAAAAAGTAATAATGTCCAAGTCGATTTCGTATATTAAAAGGAAAGAAAAACAAAGATTGTATAATAAATAACATCAGTAAACAAATTTTCTAAAATTTTGACCATAAGTTGGTATGACAATGTATAGGGCTCGGCATAAAATCCGTAACCCAAACCCGAACCGAACCCAAACTTAAAAACCCGATCCGTATCCGGTCCAAAATATTAAATATGTCCGAACGAATTTTGTAAGCTGTTACAAAACATATCCGAATCCGAAGTGTTATTAACCAAATCCGAATGGGTAATCCGAAAAAACTTGAAAACCCGAAAAATCTAAAAAAATATCCGAAGAAACCGATCCAAATGCCTAAATTAATATGTAATATAAATATATGAAAAAATATATACTTAAATATTAAATTTCATATTTGATATGATATCCAACAATACATATTTCAAATTTAAATAAGTATCTTCTCTTAAATACTCAATTATATATAAATAAGCATATATTTTTTATGTTTTGCTTTTAAATTTTAGATTATACTTGGTGTATATCTGAACCGATTTGATATGACCCGAATTCAAATGATATATATATGATTACTTTATGGATCCTAAAATGTATACAAAATCGACCTGAAACGATGTGTTATATCCGAACTCGACCCGTACTTGCAAATTTACTAGAATGAAACTTAGAAAGTGTTATAAATAGAACCGAAATCCGAAAAACCCGACCCGAATATCGATGGACCCGAACGCCGAGGCCTAACAAATGTATGTTTGCCAAAAAGAATCATATTTGCAACAAGTAATAAAAATATAAGTGTAATTTTAGTTTTTAGTGGGGAAGCAAACGTGGTAAGCAAGAAGTTGTATTAAGCAATTGCTATTTTAATCTGAAGAAGCGAAAACCAAGATTATGGTTTTGGGGGAGTCTTCTTCTCGAACCGAGATTTTCATGTGCACGTGTGTTTGGTCACTACTTCGTGTTTAACAAAACTTTCTTCACTATACAGATACTATGAAATATCTGCATTAAACAAAATTATTTGTTAAAAACACACAAACCATTGCTTTCCAATACTATCCTTGATCTTATATCATTAAACCATTTTTGTATAATATTATTATAAAAAACATGCACTTCAACTAGTGTTCTTGCGTATCTGTAATGCTACATTATATTCTTGAAACGAGAGTTAAACATTAAGCTAACAACGAGCTTCCCCTTGGTGCGGTGTTAACTCTCGATTCTACCGTCATCCTATTCCTCTTTGTTCGATTCAGTGATGGTTTTTCTCTGAAACATATTCAACAGTTATTAGGTTCCTCCGCAACTTGTCACTTTTTACTTTTCTTTTCAGAGTTGATCAATTATTTTGTAAGAAAATGCAGAACCTAAAAATTAAAGACGAACATTTTCCACGTACTCAGTATTCGTGTCGCGTATGGACTTTAATCTACATATATACTGCCTCGTAAACCAAGAACCCAACCCTACAAAAAGTTAGTAGGGGTATTATCGTAACTTCAAGAAAAGGACTATAAGCCACAGTCATTTTCGAGGAACTTAAATGCTTATGGAAAGACATAAAGAAAAATAAACATTTGTTCTCTTCCACTGTCTTGTCTATACAGTAAAGAGTTGAGAGAGAGAGACGACGATACAGTATCTCTAGACTCACACGATCACGTTCACCGGTAATAACATCACTACTCCGGTAAGAGAAACAACAAAAACCCTTTTAAAAAAAATGGAAGATTCTACCAGTTTTCCTTTAGACCCTAGAGCTAAAGAGTTTGTACCACTAAACCCTATTCTCTCCCGTCTCTACACTTCTCCACCGCCGCCGCCGCCTTTTCCCACGCCTCCTCCGTCGTTGTACGGATTATCTCCGACCGAACCAAGAGTTTTCACGTTCTTTAATCTCCCGCAACCACATCCTATGATGTTTTCTCCTCCTCCACCACCACCACCACGTCCGTATTTTAACGGTGTTTCAGCCGTTCAACGGCTTCCTCTCCCGTCAAAGTCTCCCACGCGATCTCTTTCTCTAATCTCCGTACCTCGTGACGTCACCGAGTATACGGTGAGACGCGACTTGGAGGTATTCGGCGACGTGCGTGGCGTGCAAATGGAGAGAATCTGTGAAGGAATCGTGACCGTCCATTTCTACGATCTACGTGACGCTAAAAGAGCTGTTCGAGAGATTTGTGGTAGACACATGCAGCACCAAGCTAAGCTCAGTGGTAGTAGTGGAAGTGTTTGGAGCTTATTACCATCTTCTTCATCATCGGTTCGTGGGTTTGTTTCCGGTAGACCCGTTTGGGCTCAGTTTGTAGTTCCGGCTACAAGCGCGGTTCCTAACGGTTGTAACCAAGGAACGTTGGTGATATTTAACTTAGACCCTGAAGTCTCTTCCATTGCTCTCAGACAGATTTTCCAAGTTTATGGTATATGTTTTATTTTTTTGTAACGTTTCTGTCTTGATTATGTTACATTGTTTTAATTTAGTTTACTCGATTTGTGGATATGTTAGGACTTAAAATATTTCTACAATATGTTTACTATCAAGCATGCCCTTACTATCAAGCATCCCTTAGCCGACCGTTTAGTTATCTAGAACAGTTGATAATATTGTAACTTTTTGACTTCAGGTCCCATCAGAGAGTTGAGAGAGACACCGTACAAGAAACATCAAAGATTCGTTGAGTTTTACGATGTAAGGGATGCAGCGAAAGCGTTTGATCGAATGAATGGTGAAGAGATTTGTGGGAAGCAAGTTGTGATCGAATATAGCCGACCAGGTGGGGTTAAGAACAAGTTCATGTCATTAAGGCAACCGCATGTACTGTTTCAACCGCCACCAATACTAGCTCCTCCTGTGAGGCAGTCTCTTGCTCTGGTGAAGGATAAAAACAAGAATGTGAGCGCTAGTAATGGAGTTGATGTTGTTGAAGCTTCTATGGGTTCGTTGTGTATCAATGATGATGACGATGGTAAGACCCGAGGAGGAGAGGAGTCAGAAACAAAGAGCAAGAACTTGGCTAAGTGGGGGAAGAAGAGACAGATGAAGAGCATGGAACTAAGTCAGTTTCTTATCAGTGAAAAAACCATGGATGATCCAAGTTGTAGAGATACACGTACCACTTTGATGATCAAGAACATACCAAACAAGTACAGGTTCGGCTGTATAAGCTAATTATTAGTATTTTAAAGTTACTTTATTCCAATTATTATCAGTATTATAATGCTAAAGACTAGAACTTCCAGTCAAGTATTTGTATGGATTAAAGTTCGAAGCTTTTTTCAAAATCTAGGATTGTTAAAGATTTAGATCTTTCTAATCTTTTGATTAAAATATTCACATGGATTCGTGTGCTAGTATGCTGTTTTATATTCAAAGCTTTATATTCTAGATAAAATTCTCTTATGTTATGTTCCATCAAGCTTTTTAATTATCTTCTTGTTTGATATTACACTAATTGACTATCATTTTCCTGGATACTCTTCTATTTCAGATTCTTGTAGGTTTTGTAGATGAGTTTCCACTTGATATTTTTAAAGGTACAATGTTTCTTGGTTGTATGTAGTCAAAAGCTGCTGTTGAATATGCTGGATAATCACTGCATTCACATCAACGAAGCAATCACCCAGGAAAGCGACGAAAACAAAGCTCATCATCAACCCTTTTCTTCTTATGATTTCGTGTATCTTCCAATGGATTTCAAGTAATAGAACTTCATTGGCTGTATAGTAAGGTTACGTTTATAACTAAAATTATAACACTTTTTTTTTTGTATGTGATATTAGCAACAAGTGCAATGTTGGTTATGGTTTTGTGAACATGACGTCTCCGGAGGCAGCTTGGAGGCTTTACAAGGCGTTTCATCTTCAACGTTGGGAGGTTTTCAATTCTCGTAAGATTTGCCAAATCACATATGCGAGAGTTCAGGTATACATATTACATTACACATTTGTGAATGTGTTTTAACTAAAGCCCATACTCGTCATGGGCCTTTTACACAAGGTGGTTTGGTGCTGGATCAGTATCAGCCCTAAAGCCCACCTAAGTGTACCTCGCCCTACAATCATATATAACACAAGTTAGTACGTATGATTATACGACGGCAAGGAAAAAGGAAACATCAGGGTTTACAGCAACAGGGGTCAGATCAGGATATTGAGCAAGAGACAACAATACAAGATACATAGCTTAGGCTTAAGTCTATTTATCTAAGGGCTTTGTTGTGTTTCTCTAGCTTGGAGTATTTGATTCATTGTAAACAATCTAGCTCACTATTTGGTGGTGCTAGTGTCTCTTTGATCTAGTGAAGTTTGGGAGCAGGAGTTCTCCCACGAGACGTACCGGTTTGAGGCCGGGAACTCGTTAAATTGACTGTGCATTTACTTTCAGTTTATAGCTAGGTCAAAGTATCTTGGTACCTAAGTAACCATAACCTAATAATCTCCAACAATTGGTATCAGAGCTTCGGTTGTTAAGGTTACTTAGAAGAGAGGAAGAGATCTATTTGGTACCTGTACTCAATGGGAAAGACACAAGACCGTGTCGAGATAGATCGGTTTGAAGGCGATGGGGACTTTGCCTTATGGAAGGTGAGAATGCTTGCGCACTTCGGTGTGTTGGGTCTGAAGTCTATACTTACAGACGAGAAGCTTACAAAAGACGAATCAGACTCTAAAGATGAACCTGATTCGGCCATCAAAGACAGAGGAAAAGGGTTAGCTGGACTAGTTGAATCATCATCACAGATTGATCCAGTTAAGTTCGAGAAGTCAGAAAAAGCAAAGGACCTGATTGTTTTAAACGTTGGAAACAAGGTGTTGAGGAAGATTCAGAACTGCGAAACCGCTGCTGCAATGTGGAGTACTCTGAATAATTTGTACACAGAAACGTCATTACCAAATCGGATATACCTACAACTCAGGTTTTACACGTTCAAGATGTCTGATACAAAGTCTATTGATGAGAACGTGGATGAATTTCTGAAACTAGTGGCAGACTTAAACAACCTGCAAGTAGAAGTCTCAGAAGAGGTTCAGGCAATATTACTACTCAGTTCATTACCTGCCAAGTATGATCAGCTAAAGGAAACCCTTAAATATGGAAGGGATACGCTCAGTCTAAATGAAGTTACTGGGGCTGCTAAATCTAAAGAAAGAGAGCTGATAGAGACTGGCAAGTTCACTAGGTCTGGTGGAGAAGGCCTAATGGTTGAGAGAGGGAGATCAGATCAGAGAACTGGTAAAGGAAGTGGGAGATCGTATAAGGGAAGGTCAAAGAGTAGGTTTGGGAGATCTAAGTCACGTCCCAGAAACAATAAAACCGGCAAAGGATGTTTCATATGTGGGAAAGAGGGTCACTGGAAGCGTGAGTGCCCTGATAAGAGATCAAACAAGCCACAAGACACTGCAAATATGGCAGAAGCAAAGCAACCCTTGATACTAACAGTGAGCACCGACTACAGGAAGGATGAATGGGTGATGGATTCCGGGTGTTCATTCCACATCACACCAGACAAGAGTTTTCTATTTGATCTGCAGGAATTCAAAGGAGGAAAAGTACTAATGGCAAATAACACTCACAGCAATGTTCAAGGAATTGGAAAAATTAAGATTTTAAATCCAGATGGTTCTATGGTTATTTTAACAGGAGTGAGATATATGCCTGACATGAGCAGAAATTTGATTTCTTATGGAATGCTGGAAACTGCAGGATGTCGATATGAAGGTAAAGATCTTGAAGTTAATTTCTTCAAAGATGATAAACGAATTCTCTCAGGAAGATATCATTTGGGATTATACTACTTACAAGGAACAGTTCTAAGGGGAGAAGTTAATCTATCACGACCGGAAAAGAATATGACTAATGTTTGGCATTCACGCCTCGGTCATATGAGTCTTAACAACATGTCTGAACTTGTCAAAAGGGGATTTATCATTGACAAAGATGTTAAGACGTTGGATTTCTGCGAACACTGTATTATTGGGAAGTCACACAAGCAGAGTTTTCCTAAGGCTAGACATGTGACTAATGGAATTCTTGAGTATGTTCATTCAGATTTATGGGGTTCTCCTTCTACACCGGATAGTCTTGCTGGAAATAAATATTTTGTGACATTTATTGATGATTTTTCTAAGAAGGTTTGGATTTATTTCTTGAAGACTAAAGATGAGGTATTTTCTAAGTTCAGAGAATGGAAGGCAGAAGTAGAAAACAAAACCAACAAGAAGGTCAAATACTTGAGAACTGACAATGGTCTAGAGTTTTGTAATAAGCAATTTG